GGTCTGTGGCCCAGATCAGCACTTCTAAAGACAATAATAGTGCTGAAAACAGCGTTTTGATTCTATGAGATAAACATAAAAACACGACGATCGCTTGTTCGCACTAATATAGTGTCGCACTCTGTGCAATAAGGGAGTCTTAGAATAATGTACTGAAGTACTTTGGGCAAGCTAAAATTAGCATCGCCATAGGTTTTACATCGCAACGCTATTTTTACGGTACCCAAAGCGCTTGCGTACGTTTTTCTAAATCTTCCTAATAGTGAACTAGATATTTCTGAGAGCGACGAATCAGACAGGTTGACAAGCATATGACTGGGACTTTATTTTGTTTACAAATTATAACACTGAACCCTCGCTCACACGGAAAATGCTTGAAGGCTTTCTAGCTTCAAGACGTCTTTTAGTTATTATTTTTAACGACGCTGTAGTGAATTTGCACTTCGCTTTTTTTGTATTCAATGAACCTAAAAGATTAATGAGCAAACTTCTTGCTATCAACAACAATTTATTATGATTTACGGCGCAAGATTGCCCAGGCACGGCCCGGGCCGAGAACTTTTTTGTTCAAACCCGAGCCCGGCCCGGGCCCGAGAAAATACGTGCTACTCATCCCGAGCCCGGCCCGCGGGCCGGGCCGGGCTCGGGCTTTCGGGCTGGCCCGGGCCCGTGCAGTGCTCTAGTACCGAGCATCCGACTGGCGTACAAACTCTGTTTAAAATCGCGTCATTTTGGGAATTTCAAGCGCAGATGCGCATATTTTGGTGTGCCAGTTATTGTGAAATACTATGCTAGATAAAAAGACTAACAGGGTCCAATTGCGCTGTTATCTGCGTGCAAATAAAAACAATAGGAAAAACTGTGTCAGACTGGCCGGTCTCTCCAGCGAAAAGTGAATCCGGTGGCTGTAACTTTTTTACTATACAGAGTTCGTACTGGTGTAGGCCTTTACCGACCATGAGTGGATGTCTGAAATAATAAATGAAAACGTGCTCTCCTGCTGCAATACACGCAGTAGTTGAGGGTAGTATTGCCCGCTGACTCAACTGCTATTTAAGTAACGGAAAAAAGATATATCGGCTGATCATTTACCGAAGTAGAACAACAGAGAGCTCTAGGCTGATTTTGGAGTAGCCATAACTATTCTAAGAATGCGAACCACTTCACAACGGCAGCCACGAGCGAGAGTTCGATGTTCCGTACAACCCGCCGATACAGCCCAGAGATGGAGAATGGCAACCTCCCGTTTTGTCGTCTGCTAGCGGAGGCGGGCGCGTGCCCTCTTTCTCGTTTTACCCCGACGAATCCGCTGAATTTCCCGGATGTATGAAGAGGGCGCTGCTGTCGAACAAAATGGTGCCGCCCAGAGAGCGCTAAATGAAATGCTCTATGGAACAAACATAGAGGTTCGCTGCTGCTATCTTGCTGCTTTAATCCCCGTATCAATAAGCGCTATTCGTAACACACGTAATCCGAGTTTAACTAACGTAAAACAGCTTTTGGTTAGGTTTTAGAACAAGCTGGAGCAATACACCATAAGTAAACCATGTAAGCTGGCTATGTGTGGCTTGTAGCGCCATCAATGGCACCTTCTTTTACTTACTCTTGAACAGTCCTCACAACTTCACGCGGCCGGCGAACGACTGAAGAACACAACCGCTAGTTTGCGATGCGCGCCAAAAGTTGCCGCTGCGATTTGAAACTGATTTAGGAGAAAAGGTTCGAGACGTGTCACGCTACGCAACGCTAAATATTGATCCAAAAATTTATCCGTACTGAAAGGCGAAAGACATTTGTAAAAAGTTATTGATGGCTAATCGAAAAAAAGAAAAAAAAGAAGTGGCGCACAGTGCGGGAAAGCAGATGGTCATAGGTGAGTCGGGTGAGTGTCACTTCGGCATCCCGCTCTGCGACCGGGAGTCGGCTGCCTCGCTGAGAAAATGTCTTGGGAATACGTGCCGCGCTTCATTCTCAGCCGAGTATACTTCTCGGAGGTAGAATGGACCATCTCGCCGTTCTACATGAAATCGAGGATGACCCTCATCAAGGAGAAGTACGATGTTCTCCTACAAATGGCTGAGCGTAGCAGAGTCGCCGAAACCAGCGCGTCTGCGTATTCAGAAAAAGGGATGGGGCATTCGTCGTACGGACCTCGTGGTGACTTGCGTTCCAATCTGTTTGACTGTCGTTTTATGCCCCCGGCTTAACGATTAACCCTTCAGAGATCTGTGTTTACAATCCCGCAATAATACCGCTACGCTTTATTTCACCTGGTAATTAAACAGCCCATGGCCCGAGGAACGGACCTTCTAAGAACTCCAACATAAATATCTTAATTCGTTTAAGATTAAAGCAAAACTGCAGCGGCCGCCAATTGACGCCTTTGAAAACATACAGTACCCTAAACTTACTGCACGTTAATGGAATAAGTTTTCCCCCAGCATTGGGACCAGTATAATGATGCTTTTTTTGGGGACTCGATAGCCGGTATGTTTTAATACTAACAAAACAGACATTGACATAACGGCAGGCAACTTGTCTTCTTTTCATGATTTTCACGCATTTTCCTTATGCAAAGAAAATCAGAGGGGAGCTGGAATACTTAGGTTAGTTCAAAATGCACTATGTTTGAAAATTGTAACAGACAAGGCCTCAGCTTGACAGTGCGGGGGTTTACAACCTGTTTGGAGAGGCAGCTTCCGAGCAGGTTGCCACCTCCTGTTTATGCTGAGGTTGGTTGTTACAATTTTCAAACGTGCCGCGTCATTTGTAACTTGTGCTATGTATAGGCCACCGATCTCAAATCTCCTTTTATTCTATGGCGGATTGGAATATTTTCTGAATGTATTTAACATTAACAGTCATCTCGTTCTGACTGAAGATATCAACATCGATGTAATTCATGTATCTAAATACGGTGTTGCAGAGTATCTGAATACGTTGTCGGGCTTTGGAATAGAAAGCATCATAGGGAATTTCCTGTGGGAAGAGAGTTTGGGAACTCAAATTACAAGCACATGCATTGATCACATAGTTGTTAGACTCGATGAACTCAACTTTGCTCAGGGGTGATTAAACAAAAATTGGCAGACAACTATTTTGTACCTCTTATTGTGCTTGGTGGTGCCCTAGACGAGGAGTAGGTTAATCATTATGCTGTAATTTCGTATAAAAAAGATGGATAAATTAATTAATTAATATGACTGCTATACTTTGGTGCCATTAAATCACTGTGATTTAATGACACCAAAGTGCTGCAGTCATTTAAGTTTTATAAGCAGTGCTGTACTGCTTATAAAAACGGTTGAACAATTTGGCATTTTATATAACAAGTGTGCGAAACGAATTCGGTCAAAGCAAAGAAAACGTAAAAATGTGTGGTTTATCGCTCAAATGATGAAGATGAGTCATGAACAAGACACATTCTGGAATAGATGTAAAGCCAATCTTGAGGATAGTGCACTTAAAAAAAAAAAAAGAGTTCAGAAGCCTACTTAATAATGTTACCGCCAAAGTGCGACTTGCCAAGAAAAGTTCCAAGGACACCTCAGCACTTCTTATGAGTTGTGAATGCGAAAGCATGAATGTCATTCTTGCGCTCTCTTCGTTTGTGAGGTCCACTGGCGTGGACGGCCACGTTTCGCTACTGCCAAAGTTGCAGCCTGTGGCTGAGCGCGCACTCTAGTGAAACAGCCGCCAATGGCTATCTAGGAGCTGTTGTGCTCAGCCAATGGGAGAATGGGAATTTCTTTCGCGTTTTTTTCACAGTTACAAACGCCGCCGGCTCCGCTTTATGGAATAGCTAATGCTCTTGCATTAAAAAAAACAAAAAAAAACAACACTATGTTGCTCATTTGGAGCATCACGGTAGAAACACCAGGAAAACATATGATATTATACATAAACTAGTTTGTGAGAAAGAAGAATAAAACATTACCAGTCAATCAAAGAAAGCTTTCGGAGACCAGGCTGTACATTCTTTATGAGAGGTTCAATGAAATATTTGTTTGAAGTGCTGCAGATCTCCAAGTGACGGGGTTTGTTGCGCCAAATCAGCTTATTCATAGCAGATGACAGTAGAGTCTCTTAGTCTTCTTATGAATTGGGTTTCGTGTTTTCGGCATTTATTTTTCTTCAAATTCGGAAGTTATTTATTGTTTCTTTTCACTCTTTTAATCGGTGTTTTTCTGTGTCTTATTTTAATGCCGGAGAGAAATCGGTGTTTGTAGGGCTTGTGATGTAATGCAACTGTATAATTACTGGAGAAGATATTGCTATTTATAATGCACCGGACATTATACAACTTTATTGAGCACATACCACACACTTTAGACGAGTAATGAATGCACCAACAAGTGGAAATAACAACTGAGATGCGATGCTTTTAGCAGCTCAAAATTATTAATTTAACTTGTTGAAAAAAAAAATTAACAGGTACATTGTGAGAGATTTGTCAGCCATCGGAGCACGTTCCTTGCGACTCAGGAAATGCAGGCCAGAAAATTAACGTTCTATGTTTGCACTTGACATGACATGACGGCGCTTGACATGACTGTCCATCTTTTGCTGTGCGCTCTGAAACCTTGCACCGGAGCAGGAGGGGAGGGGGGGCTCATTGTTTCTTGGGAACCCCACAAAAGTACTTAAGATAAAAAGAATAAAAGCATAGAGGACTTTCCCAAACAACCACACTCTTTTATTTAGAAACAACGAATGTTCATTTGCAGGCATGAGAAATTCACACATTCAAGAGAATGGGGAGGGTTGAAGGAGAGGACGTTACAAACAGGAGTGCAGATAAGGATTTAGTCACCGTAGACTACCCGTGTTTATGATTTTTCTTTTTCTAGTTCCGACCTGATAAATTCCATTTCACGTCTTGTCAGGGCTAAGAAATGTCGTCTTCTCCTGCAGATTCAGGCTGGCAACTGTGTGCAGTTTGACCAACTGGAAAGAGACCAAGCTCCCGCCCTGCAACCGTGGCGTGGCTCGACGGCTCGACTGCGCCCCAGCGAATATGTCCTCTGAAGACCTGCCTTGCTTCAGCCTCATCCGAGAATACTTCTCGGATGAGGAATGGAGCGCCATGTCATTCTACGTGAAGTCAAGGATGACCAATCTCAAGGAAAACTACGATCTTCTCCTAGGAATGGGTGAGCGTTGGCAGAGCCTCTGAAAAAAGCGCGTCTGCGAATTCAGAGAAAGGGATGGCTGCAAAGAAGAATTTGGGACAGAAAGGTGTTTATTAGTATTCAATATATACAACATTAGGGTAATATGCCTAAACACTGGGTCCCTGGTAAACTGTAGCTTCCGTATCGAAGTCCACTGTGAAGTCGAACTGTGTACTCAGCAGCAACAACGACAAACCCTAAAGTACGGGTCACACTGCTTACGGCGAATACCGTTCAGTCTAATAGAGGAAACTGAACCTAAAATACATGGAGTTGGCAGGAGAAATTATAAAAACATAGAGGACTTTCCCTGACAACCACACTCTCTAATTTAAAAACAACCAATGTTTATTTCCTGGTACGAGAAATGCACACCTTGACCAGAACGGGGGAGGGCTAAAAGAGAGGAAGTTACGAACGGGAGCATCGATAAGGATTGAGTCACTGTAGACTGCCCATGTTTATGATTTTTCTTTATCTAGCTCTTGCCTGATAAATTCCATTTCACGCCTTGTCAGTGCTAAGAAAAGTTGTCTTCTCCTGCAGATTCAAGCTGGCAAGCGTGTGCAGTTTGACCTACTGGAAAGAGACCAAGCCGCCCTCCGAGAAATATTACCACAACGGCACTTCGGCATCCTGCCCTGCAACCGCGACTTGACTGCGTCTGAAAGAAAATCTCTTCTGAAGATCTGCCTCGCTTCATGGTATGACATTTTGAATATGAACGGAGTCAAGTGGCTTCTATTCGCTATGCGCTGTTCTTGGCCAAATCGGCTTGAAATGGCTATGCATGGGTGTCGGAGACTATTGGACAATTTCTGCAATTAGAGTGTGCATAAATTTGAATGACTTCAACTGGATATCATTGGCTCTAGGCATCTTTCCTCAACCTGGTTGGCTTCAAATCACTATTATTGGCTATAAGCATCTGTTCCTGGCACTGATCTTTATGACAATTGCTGGATCGCGCTTGCCCGCTTGCTCGCTGCAGCGTGATTGAAGCCACTGGACGGCCATCTTGCTCAAAGGCAAATTGTGGTTTTGCTAGCTTTGCAGCGGCTGGCGGCAGAGTGCTCTAGACAGATTTTTTACTCGTTCGTCATCATTTGCCGAAGAAGTTTTTTAAGACCCTGTGTAAGCGTTGAGACTTGCCGTTGAGAACACGTAGAATTTTTTATGAAACCGCTATGCCGCAGAAAAAGGGCAACTCGTCGTAATAGCATCAGATTTGCATGTGCACAGTCAACTTCTTCCGGAGCTTACTGACATCGCAATAACGTACATGGTTCAAAATTGCCTTTTGCTTTTGAACCATGTACATTGAATAGGTGAGCCAGCTCACCTATTCGACAAAACGGTTATAAGTAAGACATAAATGAGAAATGGGAATTGCAACAACAGAATGAATTGATTGATAAGAACAGTAAAGTTGAAGCGTTGCTATGTTCTGACATTTATGTACAGTGCCCATTTTCAAAAAACAGCGTGAAGGTACATTGGTGTTTTGCCTGGCAAGATATAAGTTGTGACAGAGTGTTTTTATCAGGACTGCTCCGAAATTGACCCCTGAAAGCTCTAAGATCATTCCCACGCGAAGAAAATGTGTTTGACTCATGAGGTGGCAGCTATTTTTTAACATTCAAAGCTGCGAATACCCGTGACAATATTTTTTCATTCCTCACCTCGCACGGAGAAAGGCAAAACCAATGCGTTGTGGAGAACTCGTCTGCTAGCGGAAACTCCCAGCTCGCCAGGGGTGCTGCGATCAGGTATTTAATCACGCTTCGCAGGAGTTGCCAGTATCGGCTTATGTGGTACTTGGTCGAACCTAGCTACCCTGGAGTCACTTCATCTGAAGATCTGAAGCAAACGTGTGCCTATAGCAATCCCGCATCCCACGTTGACCCGCCCTGTGGCCTCGCGGAGAAAACTTGAGAATAAAGGCGAGCGAGCAGTGGGGCGTATGGCGGAGCAAGATGCAAGCTGCCAGATCGTGATTGCGCTCACTGTGCTTTGAAGACGGTATGCGTGAAGTCTAGAGGGACCATTTGGCCAAGGAGCAGCACCGAGTAAACGAGGGGTACTAGCGAGCGCGAGGAACAACCCTGTGCATGGCCGAGGGCGTCGGGAAGCGGATTAACGTCGCTGGGAGGGGACCTGGACGGAAAATGGAGTAGGCAAATGAGTGCATGGCTCGCCGTATTTGGCTTTGTCCCTGCGCTCTAAGTCACTGTGCATGCCAAATTGGTCGGTGGGAAATGAATTGAACGTCGCAGGCAACTTGATCACTGCAACCTCGTGCGATATTTGGTATGGCCATGTGCTAAAAACGTTCAGATCCTAATGTGACAATTTAAAAAAGAAAACTCATGGTGAGTTATTTTTATTATTAACAATGACACGCTAAATGTCTTGCTCAGAGTACTCTGCACAAGATAGTAACATCTGCTGGATAATCTATTCTCACATGCTGATTTGTAACGATGCTCGTGCAGAGTCTCTTTGGCGCCAGTCCATAATTTTCTTTGGGGGGGGGGGGGGGGGGGGGGGGGGTGAGCAAGTTTCATGTCCCGCTGCAATTGTTTTTTTTATCCAGGTGGCGTTTGTGACGTACAACTTTGGGTGACCGACCAGAAAAGTTAATTGTTTAGCAATGTTGGAAATAAAAAGGGTGAACGGACAGAATGCCGTAAAGGTAAACTAGACTGAGTGCTGCTGGTTTGCCTGGTTCGGCTATTATACACCTTTCCAAAAAACGCTCCTAGGCCGCCGCCATGTTGCTGATGCTGATGCGGCTGGTGCGACTCTCGCGCCCTCTGTCAGCTAGAAATTTTCTGTCACTCTCTGGGACTGTGAAGACCTGCTCAGCGCGGTAATCTACCTACGTTTTTGCGGTTTTGCATTCGACGTTTTCTCGCCCCTCTTAAAAGTTTCCACTTACTTCTTTTTTTTTTTTGTGCGTGCTGCTTATCCCTTTTGTGTTATCTTCCATTGTGAGAAATAAGGCTGGTAAGTGCCTGCCATTGAAACTTTTCTGCTCGACATTCACTGGAAACGAAGTAGGTGAAGGATGTCGAACGACCCTCGACGCGATTTTGCGAAAAATGTTCCCCTCCCCCCTCTTACAGATAATCCGCGTAGAATCCTCAGTTGTCTCCAAAAATAGTTGTCCGGGTGGGGCCGGGGGTGGGAAACGGGTCAGTCGCGTTTGTTTCTTTGCATTGGTGCGGTTGTGAAAAAAGGAAGCTCTCCCCAAAACGAAGTCATCTCGGATTCCGTCCGATCGTCAAGATGGGACTTTCGTCGACTGTGATTGTGTTATTTGAGATCTTTCTCAAATAAATTCTTTTTGGATAACGCTGCATCGTGTGGTACGTACGATATATTGTTCGAATGTTAACACTTCCTTGTCCTGTCCATCGGTAAACACGTTATTTGTGAGCGTGAAAATGCACGCCTTTCGGCCCTCTTCTGTTGCAATTTATTTTTGACAGCAAAGCGCATTGGGTTCTTTCACATGCGGCAAATCCCGCGGCGCCGTCAAAACTTATCCTAAGAAAAAAAAAAAAAAAACTAGAACTATACATTCCAGTCGCATTCGTTCAGTCGCGCGTGTACCCAACAAAAATAGTTAACAGTTTTTTTGTTGCTTTTTTTTTTTTTCTAATGTGGCGCAGTGCTTTCTCAATGTCCGCGGGAAAATACATGTAGCATGAAACACAAAATATAGCGGGAAAAGACGAGAATTTAGCCGCCAGCAGCGTTTGAAACTGCGACTACGCAGGCTGCGCCTATTAAAATCACAGTCCACTCGGTTAGGGTTAGGAGGGACGCCGGTGAGAGCCTAGCCTCAAACTCAGTGACTGGGCTCGAAAACGGTTTGTTGCCCCTGGGGTCGAGTGTTTTTTGGAAAGGTGTATAGACACTGCCTTTAAGGCTGCGGAACCATTGCCTCGATTGCACATCGCCAGAAGTCCTTAAAAGTTAGAAATTTCTGTTGCTCCTTCTTAAGTAATCAAGCACCTCGTTTCCTCACTCCATTGTTGTCGGACCAGGGTATGCTGTTTTTTGATTGCCAATTGTGCATTAAATGAAGGTAGGGAATACTCAATTCGGTATTTTTAGCATTTTCTTTTAAAGATTATAAGTACTCCATCCTCGTGGGTCTGTAGCATTTTGTTGAAACACATTTCCTGGATAGACATTTTGTAGACTGGTATTAAAGAACACGCATTTCGTGGACACGTGCTCTGGCAATGTTTCGTTGAGAGCTTGGATGGGATTACTCGCTTCATTTTCTTTGCTAAAAGTATACCCGGGTAGCTTCAATAAAGCAAACAAATCTGTGAGCCCTGATCTGAGGTTTCCAAACAGACTGCGCTATGTACAGCCGCTTCTTTCTTTGCGTTGCTCAGGGAAAAATGTGATGTTGTCTTGGGCACGAGCTTGCACCAGGCCTTGTCGGAACTGTCAAGGGTTTAGCAAGCTAAGCTATCATTTGGATGCCAGTGGTCGAGTGTATGTGCACTGAAAGCCGCTTTCAACGAAACGTTGCAGGGCATGTCGACGACCGAGTGGGGGGCAAACAGACCCCGAAGTATTCTTATGTGGGGGCTCGGCCCCCCCCCCCCCCTTTAAGAATGCTTAAAATAAAGACGCCAGGCGCCCGACACACGACACAGTGAAAGGCAAAATGGGACACACGATGATAGTGTTCACTCTCTAACAAAACTCGGGTTGTAATATCTGCAGAAATATTTAGCGCATAAACAATAAAAAAAAGAACTTGTCTTCAGCCCTCTTCCTGGAAGTATACTTCTGGCATTACTGATGTCGATGAAATGTCGTTCAGCACACTGATTACCTCTGGATTTCCCCACACTTTTTCCCTTAATTTCGGGTTGTTCGGCCACTAAGTTCTAAATACTTTGGACTTCGTACAGTTTAGCTTCATTTTGGCTCGATTTGCTCGTTCTGTTTCTGAGCCTGTTCTGATTCTGATGTGCCAAATTTAATCTTAATTTCTTGCGATCACTTCCTAGGCTCTTCGTACCTTCCTCGTCTATTTTCACATCTCCCAACCTGTTATACAGCTTGTGGGACATTGGCTGTTTCTTTCCCACATTATTTTCGCATTGCATTTTACTTGGGCTTACAGATCAAGGACATTGAAAAACTCGAACATCTTCCTGCCATTGCAGGCGTTTATGTCTCCTATGACAATTGTTTCCAGATAAGGGCCGGCATAGTTTCCTCACTCGAGTCATTTCCATTTTTCACATAGGCAAACTGCTGGGCAAGTCCCTTGTTGCTTTGTTACCTATTTTGTTGACTGACGAGGCTTCACCGCCAAAGCAGCTGCATGAAAGTAGTGAGTGGCAGAGCCGACAGGGCCACAGGTCAGCCTGAGCTGTGCCTGAGCTCCCCCATGGCCCGATAACCTCGTAGCTTAACGCACGACCTGCGTCGCATTGTAGTGTTTTAATTTTGGTTGCCACTTGCTTTGCAACAGGTGAGAACAGTGGGACGTCTGAGCTCTGCAAAATGTGCGAAATAACCGTAAAAATATGAAACGTTGATTGCGGCGGGGAGCAGTTTTTGTGTGTAGCGTCGTTGAGAGCACCTTCGTATGCTTGTCGGAATATATAATTTCGTCATGACTTTGTTCTTAGGCAACGAACCAAGCAGCAGGATCTTCGGATGCTGTGTGAATGTTTCGAGTCAGGCCGAAATAGATAAAAACAACAAACAACCTGAAGGGTGTACGGTCGCTATGTTAGGAGACCTAGGCACGGGCCGACGTTAAAAGGTGTTTGCAGCGCAAGTATTTTGGCCAGACGCAAGCCGCAGAGCGACCGTGTCGCATGCACGCGAGAATGCCAGAACAGACATGGGTCAGCGGAAGGGCATATTTCCTCGCCAAAGGGCGACTCTCTGGCACGCAAGAACAGATTGTGGTTAACTACGCTCCCGTCTGCCGAGTTCGGAGGTGACGGGGACATCCCATGTCGACCCCGGTGACGTGCCTGGTGATGCCGCGGCACAGTTGACGAGTCCCGTGGTGAAGAGGAATATAAAGTGCCGAGTGTTTTACGTGTAAGCAATGGCAGCAGCTCGAGCTACAGATGGAGCACAGGAATAGTTTTGCCAACAGTGCAGTCTAAATAGGTTGTATGAGCCCGGGAGAGATGAACCTGAAAGAGGAGCTGTTGTATAACTGCTGTCTCTCTCCCTCGTTGCAGAACTGTTGAGAGACCCTTCAGACGGCTGATGGGTAAAGGCTGGCTTCCCAAGGACTGACGACGAGGAAGAGTGGTGCATGGATGGCTTAAAGAAAACACTCGTGCAAGGGTGCCTGCAACCCACAGAAAAACGGACAAGTAGAAAGAGTAGTCAAGATATTGGTTCCTGTAGTTGTTGCATCCATGCAAAATGGATCTCACGACGATTTGGATGCGAGAAAAGGAGATTCATATTAAAAATAGCGCAAAGAAAAGGAGGTCCGGCGTGATTTCAACGCTTTCTTGTCTTCATTGGCCAAGTTCACGGCAGTCATCATCCGTTTAATTATGTCGGTTGTTACAAATGTTTGTGTTGCATTGCGCATAGTCGGTGGCATGTATTGTTGCTTTTTTTTATTTGAAGCTTCCCTCGACTGGTAAACTGGTCTTCCACTCCGTTCTTTGTCAGAGATGTGATTCAGTGAATTTTCTTAATACTGGTTTTGATTTAAATATTTCTTTTACCATGTTCATACTGTGGTTGCACATGGCCTGCACATAACGTCATCCCAGCATGCCCGTGGTCATTCCTATGTGTTCAAGAGAAAAACAAACGATAAGGTGCATTGTTCATACATGCTCGGCAGTTAGCTGACCACCCCCATAGCAGCTGGTGCGATATCGATGCAAGCCATTTATACAAGTTTTCCTCGCATTTTCTAGCATAGAGCAGGTGCCCAATATGTACTCGTGTACGCAGTGTCTTCTCGAAAACAATCTTTTTTCTGCATAAAAATGCAGAACTATGGTCACTGACAGCATGAGAATGGCAAGGAGATCTCTCAGTTGCCCTGCCTGAAGCGCTAGCTTGATATCTTCTAGGGCTCTTTGGCATCTCCTGGGCCACGAACGCGCACACACAGCCAAACTACGACAGGAGGAAACGAGTGCACGCTGGACGCCAGGCATCCGGAAGATACGCTCTGCCGTTCTCACCCTGCCAGTGTCTATACTCCGTTCGCCTTTAGGCCAACACTGCAGCCAGAGCTAGAACCGCGAGCTAGCTGTGCTTCCTACTTTGAAATGTGAGTTTCAAGCGCATGCGCGTGTACTGTGGAAGAATGTTTTAAAGCCGAGGTCCCGTGCTGTCGCGTTTCTAGACTCAGCTGCAGTCCCAGCTTAAAGGGGCCCTGCAATCATATTTAAGCGTCAATCTTTTTTGCAGTTTCCACGCCTCTTGGGGTTTGGGCAACCCAGCGGGCACGGAGAGAGTAACTAAATATCAGTGCGTCATATTTCAACCGGACGACTCGGAAACCTCCTCCACCTACGAGGGCGACCCGCGTTGCCGAAAGCGCACGAAATGGTGACGTTTTTCGTCCTGGGCTTACTACTGGTCAGAGCCGCTAAAAGCTTTTTTTTTTTTTTTTTTTTAGTCGAGATAGAAAATATAAGTGTCGCAAACTGTTTCAATTATGTATGAAAGTAGTTTTTGTTCAGTATTTTATATCAGAAAAGAAACGAATGCAGTTTATAAAGTACAAAAAGAAGAAATGGATGGATGGCTGGATGGATGAATACGGCTGAGCCCTTTGTATCGGGCGGTAGCTTGCGCCACCTAGCCATTTTGTTTTACCATTTAAGCTTAGAATATTTAAATATGAAATCTATATTCACTCCGCAGTACAAAGAAAGTGAGGCTATGAAACCCCCTTGCCATCAGTGGATAAGAAAATACCTAGTTTTCTCTCGATTTCTGCCACCATTCACTTAATCTTTACTTGGTAATCTCTGCAGTCTTGAAATCTACTCTCCCTTCGCTGTCTCTAAAACCCAATGACTTTATTAAATCTATGTTGTCTTCGGTAGGCATAGGGTGAAGGGGGTGAAGCCCTTTACAGTAGAGCCGTCGACATCCCCGCCACCAAGCGGTGGAAAAAACGGCACACACTAGAAAGGGCTACTGGGATGAGTCGCCGACGAACGGGGAGCGTAGAAAGGTTTCTGATGTACGCAGTGGCACTGCGGTCGTATACCGGCTCGTCGCTCGAGGATGCAACCGGTTCCGAGTGTTCCGAAGGCCTTCCGCGCGGTCCCTCCTGGCGATTTGGCCGTTGGGCGGTATGGCAGCGCGAAGTGGCTCCCGTTCTGAACGGATCTTTAGCCCGAGCTTGCTGTCGTTGGTGGCCAATGAAGTGTCATGCTGAAATAGTCTTTAATCGCGCAGCAAATGCGATGCGAACCGCCCTGGCCGCCCGCTTCATACAGCCTATCTAACACGTGCTTTAGTGGCGCCCTCTTGAGCCGTCGACTCGGAGTGCGGCGGCCATGAGCGCTGGATGTTTGCTTGTTTTTTTTAAATTCTTATTTGCCTATAACTTTTAAAATAAGGCGAAAATCAGAGAAAAGAAAAGTTTCATTAAGTTACTGCGTTGAGTGCACTCAGGTTCGGTGCAAATTAGAAACCAGTCCAAAAGTGGTTGCAGGGCCCCTTTAAAGGGGCCCTGCAACGACTTTTACTGGTTTCGCCGTTCCTCAAAGTGGCGCCGCTCCTCAGAGGCAGACCAACCTTGCACTTTGGGGGATGGGGTTGCCAGGGGTTTCCCTAGGAATTGAAATTAGGGGGGTGTCTAAGATTTTTAGGGGGTGGGGGTTGGGGGAGCATTGAGAATAGAGAAGTTGTTGCGAATTAAAGAGGGGCCTTCAGAAAAAAAAAAAAAAAAGTTGGGCGTACACCCCTTCTTTAGAGGGTGTGTAGGGAAATCGCTGGGGGTCCGCTTGTCATGCCACAGGTCGACCCGGAAGGAAGAGCCTCGCCAAAGAGTTTGTAAATAAATATATTTGTTTGTTTTTAATGGTTCTGTGCCCATGGACGCCTCCATATGCTCGAAGGCGGGATCTTAACGTCAAATTGTGGTTGTCGTTCTGCCTGTTTTTTTTTTTTGTTTTTTTTTTTTGTGTGAACGTGTATATATTCGAAGGCCGGTAAGTTTATTGAATAATAATGGAAATGGTGTTTATTTGAACCCCAAGAGAGGGGGGGGGGGGGGGCTGGAGGATAAGCTGTACAATTCAAATCGACAGTACTCCTCCTCCTCCTCCTCCCCCCCCCCCCCCCTCGCACGGAAACACAGAGACCACTTGGGAGTGCAGACAACTCAGCAGGGACTCCAACGAAATTGACGACCTAAAAAAGAAATAATGAGGTAAAAAAAAGCGTTGCTTATGTGGTATTAATTGATAGAAAATTAAAAAGAAATATACAAATTACTAATATATACACCAGATTGCCGTGAAGTAAAGCAAACTACTAACTTTGTTGTGAAGAAACCGGCACAGAAAAGAATGTAGCAAATGTGCTCATGGTTTCTTTTTTCGGTGCCTGAAATCGCTGTGCATGCTCAGATACTTACATCTTGCCCTGCTTTACTGTTCTTTCCACAGTTCCCGACAACTGTTCCACAGTTCCCGACAACAACGCGTTAAACTACACTCGCAATCGGACGCCTACATTTTCAGGGTCTGTCGAAGGCATTCTCTTTTTTTTTTTTCTGACAGAACTTAAATCGAGCAGTTTGCAAACTGGTCGATTTCAGTTTTGTCAGAAATGAACGCTGGGAAACGTCAAATGCGGGATCCGAAACGTTTCCAGCGGACCTCGACAGATCAGCGTTAATATAAACACAATCTAAAAGTTGTTTTACGATGGTTTTCTCGGATCTGACTAACCGAGCTGCTTTCCGAATGATTCTTCTTGATCCGGCGAATAAGGCAGGAAGGAAGCAGCAGCACGTTATAAAAGAAATGGGATTGATTTCAGAGCTCACGTTCGGAACGATGAATCAACGGACACAAGTTTCTCCGGGACGCCGAACTGGCCGAACGTTGCCGCCTGCGATTTCAAATTCATTTCCGGTACGATTTCCGGTTCCGCTTGCCCTGCCATCTGATGAGAGAGAGAAAGGGTTCGAGAAATGTAACCATAAATGTGTAACCAAGAATTTACAAGCAACGAAATGCGAAAACCGTTAATAAAAAGTTATCGTTATTAAGTTTTCCGCGGCGCAGTACCACGCTCTGTTGGCTGATCAAAAAAAGTGGCGGCAAGCGCGGGAAGTTTAGCAGACGACAGTTGAGCGTCTCTTGGGAATCCCGCTCTGCGACCGCCACTCGACTGCGTCTCCACAAAAATGTCTTCCGAAGACCTGCCTCGTTTCAGCCTCATCCGAGAATATTTCTCGGATGAAGAATGGAACACCTTGTCATTCTACGTGAAGTCAAGAATGACCAATCTCAAGGAAAACTACGACCTTCTCCTACGAATGGGTGAGCGTTAGCAGAGCCTCTGAAAAAAGCGCGTCTGCGAATTTGGCGAAAGGGAAGGCTGCGAAGAATAATTTGAGACATAAAACTATCCATTACTATTCGATACGCTACATTAGGATACTAAGCCCGAACACCGGGTCCCTGGTATATTGTAGCCTCGGTATCGAGGTCCGCTGTTAAATGGAGGTGCTCGGTAGTGACAAGGACAAACTCTTACCGGTTAATCCTCGTGAGATTAAGTCTGTGCTTATACGGAGAGCAAGTTTTCTGCTTCTAGCGCAGCAGTTGAGGCGACGTCAGAACAACGCCTAGCTCTGATTGGCTTTCATTGAGAGGATAGTGGGTAGACATAAACACTAAATGCCTTAAGGTCTGCCCACTATTCTTTTTTTTTTTTTTTTCAATCAGTTAATAAGAGCTCGGCGTTCTGGCATCATGGCAGCCCCTGTGCAAGAAACAGACTAACTTTCGCTCCAGGTAGCTTTGAAATGATATTGAAACATTTTTTTTATTTCAACTGATAATTAAACGGCTCATGGCCCAAGGATCGGTATATACCGATATGCAACAAAATGAAAAAAAAAAAGAAGAAATCTATGACGGGAATTTAAAATTGTTTTTCTTTTATTATCTGGTTTGCGTGCAGTGGTGTAATTATAACCAAAGTAGTAATAATAATAATATTAGTAATAATATCTGTATTCATGTACAAAAGATCTATTAAGAGTTTAAACAACTGCACGAACCTTTTCAATAACTACAGCATAAATGTTTCAGCTCGCCTAAGATCGAAAAGCCGCGCAGCACAAAGCACTGCACGGGCCGAAATTTCTAGGCCCAGCCCGACCCTGCCCGGTAGAGACATGGGCCGGGCCCGATAGAATGATTAAACAAGCCCGCACACGGCCCGATCCCGACAAAGCATTTGCAGGCTTTAACCTAAAAAACTGTTGAAGGATAAAGC